AAAGGAAATGATGGGGAAAAAAATCCAGATACTGACAAGAGCGGGAAGCACAGTACGAAAAAAAAAAAATATTTTGGTCACATTTCCTCTAAAGAAAATCACCATTTTTCTTGAAGGACTTGAGAGCTACGGTTGAGAGTTTCTTGCCTTATTGATCTGCCTAGTGTCTGAGCTCAGAATTTAAATTTGGAAGCAAAAAGAACTTTTAATCTAAATTCAGACTAAACTACTACGATTTCAGCAGACTGTGTTCAACCTTGCAAACAACTCCTGTTAAAAATTATTGATCTCCAAAATTTTTAAATGTGCATGGGTTCATGCTATTTTGTATATAGTTTATAATAAAAATCCCAGCACTTTCTTGTTTCCCTAGCTAATCTGTATTAGTTTTTGGCATATCCCACAATACCAAATTAGCTCTCCGGAGTGTTTTTTCAGCCTTTTAACTCCGTTTTGGGCAAACAGTGATGGCTTGTCAGTGAAGAACCGGTGCCATCTAGGGGCTAAAAGCTGAAAGGAGGGGAAGTGTGAAAAACACTAAATACAGTCTGGGATAACAGGAATCAGGGACAGAAAAAAAAAAAAAGGAAATAATTGGAAAAAAAATCCAGATACTGAAAAGAGCGGGAAGCACAGTACAGAGATGCCCAAATCCTTGCCCAGAGACAGCTTGGGCTCTGCAGGGCTGTCTTGGCTTGGGTAAGGGTGAAGGTTCTGCAAAGCTTGGTATCAGTCACATCTGCTCAGTGCTTCCCCAAACCAGTCCCTCCACGGAGCTGGTTGACTGGGAGTGGGAATGTGCAGGAGGACATGGCTCCTCAGCTGCATCCAGACATCACGCCTCTTGGTATTTAAGACTACTATACATTTGAAGAGGATGCTTATAAAAAACACTAGAAAAACACCAAACAGCTTTGGGATCACATATTTAGAAAATGCTGATCTAAACTCTGGGGTTTATATATATATACATATTTCTTTTTAAAAGTTATTTTAATATCCTACTTCTGTTTATCATGCCTTGGAGTAAAATTTAAGGAAAAGACATGCATGTAAGGAAAAGAAATGCATGTTCTGTCTCAGGAACGATAGTGGTTACTTGAGTTTCCACTCAGTATATTCTCTGAATAAGTTGTCTTTGAACTCCCTCTGGTGGTATCAAGGTTTTGTAAGCAGAAAAAGGTTTTTGAAGCACTTTAAAGAGCTACATAGTTTTAGCAACGAGTTGATAGTTTGTGTTTTTTCTTCACACTTTCTAAAAATAGCTAAGGAAGAAGATGGGGGGGAAAGGCAAATACATAAAACTTATGAAGAGTCTAATTTTTTCCATTTTTTAGTGCAGAAAAAGAAGTTGGTGGGTTTTTTTTCTTACTTAAGAGGCAAATGCATAGAGTTACCTCTGCTTGCAATCATGCTTACATTGGCAAAGCAGCACAACTATTAAAACTTTCTCTATTGTCCTCAATTGAACTACTTTAAAGCAGAAAAAGGCCAGACAAGTCGAGGGGGCTGGGGATTGCTCTGGGTCTGCAAGATCCTTACTCATACCTGAGAGCAATTAACTCTCAGACAGGGTTAATTAAGGAATCAATCCCTTGGCATTACTGGGCTGTTCACGTAAGCAGCTGCTTATCAGAATGAGCAAAAGGATCACACTCTGCTCCTTTTTTAATGGAAACTTGTCTACATTGTATCAGAATGAGCAAAAGGATCACACTCTGCTTCTTTTTTAATGAAACATATGAATATCCCAGGGGGTTTGCAAGCTGCATGTTGTGGTAAGTATGTTAGACAACACCGTCAGTGTTTGACCAAATGTTGTCTGTTACATTCAAGTCTGTAAACTCCTGCTTCATGTGCTGTCTGCACTGGGAGAATCTAAGATCCTTTTTGCTCTTTGACTAACTAGCAATTAATTCAAGTATGTTCTCTTTCTAAGAGATTGGATGTTATTCTGTTGAATTATTTATACAGTTGAAATTTCTGAGGCCTCAGAGGGATCGTCTCTGGAAAAAACATTTTTCTGCATTTCCAAGCTCTGGAAATTCCAGAATTCCTGAACTCATTGAGGAAAACTCCATTTGCTCAAATATAACTAGATAAAACCCAGTGCATTCTCCATTTAAAAGTAAATGTATATGGCAAAACTCTTTCTAAAAGTATTGGACCTAAACATAAGGTATTAATCTGCTTTAGAAATGGGAATGTCTAGTTTGATTAAGCATAAGAAAACAGTGTAAGATTTTGCTCTTGAAGGTTTTACTAGAAAAAAATTATCATTTATTTAATTAAAAGGAGCAGAAACTGGAAACATTCTTAGGAGAGAAATAAAGAAAATTGATTCTTAGAGACTTCCAAGAATCAGGAAAATATTTTCAATATCTTTATTATAGCTTGCAGAGTCAATCTTGCCTGAACAGCAAGTCAGAAAAGAGTTGAATGACCTTTCATGTCCCGTTAAGTTGTTTATATATATATAAAAATATATATATTTATATATAGTTATATATTAAAATCAATATATATGCTCTAAGCATTTGTACACAGCCTGTTATCAACTATCCAGAACTAGGAATTAGGGAGTAGATCCTGGGTTCCCTGGTACCACTCGGAGGGAGAACTTCTTGACCCTCGTTTGTGCAGTTTCGTGATGCTGTTGGGGAGGTGTGTGTGTCAGCACCTCAGTTAGGCCAATGGCTGGAGAGCTGCCTGGCAGAAAAGGACCTGGGGTTGTTGGTGAACTGTTGGCTGAACGTGAGCCAGCAGAAGGCCATCAGCATCCTGACCTGTATCAGGAACAGTGTGATAAGCAGGACTCATGAGTCCTTGAACCAACTGTTCAGGAATAGTTAAAGTTTTGGTATTCAAAACTGGATAAAAATGAAATACAAATCAGACTGTCCTCATAACCTACTCTTAACATCAGTCAAGCATCTCAGAGATGCATTTGATGTAAAGGTACAGGCTAGGTTTTGCAGAAGCACAGTAAAGCTACTTATGTAGCGTATACTTATGTGTCAATAACATTTTGGGGGTAAATAGAAGCCCTGACAGGTGACGAGACAAAAGTAAGTGCGCAGGAGCTTGATCAAAGTATTCAGGTCTTTAGTACATGGAGCTATGCTCAAATCTGTGCCACTCTCTAAGCTGACTGTTTGTCAGAGAACCATGTACCACTCTCATTCTTCAGTCTGCAGGGAAGGATCAGCGACCAACGAGGGCACCGCAGTCTTGAAACTGCCATTTCTGAGAATAATACTGTTTAGTTTTAAAACTGTATGCAGTCTTTACACAAGTAATGCTGCTGTGGACGTGATGGCTTAAGGATACAAGATAGCTGGTGTGTGTATATAGATTAGCAGCTGAAGTGAAGACAGGCTTTGCTACTTGGCCCATATAGAGTAACATCTTTCTCCAGGGCAAGTGAGTGTCCACAGAGAAGCATCATGACAATTTACAAGCCCAGCTGAAACAGCAGGCAGCTGTTGGGAAATGTTAATTACCTTCTGTTTCAGGCAGAAAGATGAAGTGAGCGATGCCGGTTCCTGCAGCATGCTCTTGTAGATGGTGTGGAAATGAGTATTCAACATCTTTTGGGCTTGTTCTTTCAAAGGCCAGCTTCTATGGCTGATGGAAATCAACCACACACCCTCCAATGAAGCAGAATTAGACATTGTTGTCCCCCAAAGGAATCCTTTCATTTCCGTGACAGCTAGAATGGGTGTTGAAATTAGTGCTGTCTCAAACAAAATTAATGGCTTATAAGGAGAAATTATTTAATCATCAACCCAGTCATATGGCATTATAATGTACCAAGGCTTGTATAATTCCTAAAATCTGAAAGTAAAATTTTTATTTGGAGTTTCTTCAGAAGGATTTAGCAATGGAAACTTTCCACATGCCTATGGCAGAACTTTATACTGCAGCAGCGGAAAGGGCCTGGTGCCAGAGCCCTCAGGAGGCACCTGCAAACCTGTGTATGTGCCTCACAAATCTTTATGTACCTTGTGAAACCCATCATCCCTTCCTGTGTAGGTGGAAATGCAATTCTTTAGCTGCATTTCCCTATCTCTGTATTCAGTGGAGGGGAAATATGTAACAAAAATTGTGTCACACTGATTGGGCATCTGCTGCAGGGAAGAACAAGGAAGAGCGCTGAGATGGGAAGAGTTAAGTGACTGCAAGTATTTTCCCAGTCTTCTATGTTTTTTCAGTTTTCCTTAAAGGACTGAAAGAGGAGGGAAGAGGAAAATGTCTCCTCATGCAATTTTTGGACAAGTGAATTGTAGTGAAAATTTCATTGACCCTTTCCCCCTCCTCTAGATAAAAATAAGCTAAACTTTTGTTTTGGTTTGGTTTGTTTGGGTTTTTTACTTCCTTTTTCCTTCTTAAGAGAAATATTAATAAATCTCACCAGCAAGCACAGCACAAGTACGCAAGAGACTGTTAAAAGTAACCAAACCACTGCATATGTTAATTATGATTTGTAAGGAAGAAGTCAGAATATTCCCCATGTTTCAACAAGTCCTTTTCAAACCCTTAAAGGCTAACTTGTTCTGAAAAAACCTTCCAGTTCTGTTTTCTAGGACCAAAAGTGAAAAATAAATAACCTGTGTGTGCAAGGATATTGCCCATAAACATATGATGAACAAAAAAGTAAACACCACTTCTGGTGCAAACTACAGCTGAAAATTTTACAAACTACAGCTACCAAGTAAGTACATGGTTAGGCTATTTTTTGACAGTAAGTGGTTCCAAACTCCTATCTTATGTATTTTATTCACTCTTGAGGGCTTGCTCTTTCTTCCTTAAAGCCAGACAGGTCTCTTTTGCCTGTTCTCACAGATTTTGACTACCTTATCTCAGTCCCCAGTTAAACAAAATGAGCTCAATGCCTTGGTTTACTCCTTATCCTTTGGAACTGTGCCTTTTTCAGTATTGCTAAGTTTACTTTTGGTAAGCAGGTCCTGTGGATATGGAACAGGCTGAGGAATCATTAAGCAGGACACTCAATAACACAGCTTTATTGGTCTTTACAAATTACCAGTAACAGAGACAGTCATGTGGCTTGAGTTTGCAAAGCGATACCTTTTAAAAAGGGAAAAGGGATCTGCTGAGGCTCTGTGAGCTACAAACAAAGGACAGAAAGCACATTAGACAGAAAAGATTTAAGAAAGAAATCAGGACAAGGGATGGAGAGCGGTGCTGGGGAAATGAGTGCAGGAAAGCTGAGAAAGTTCCACCTGTTCCCAGTTTGTGCCCTGGGTAGCGAGACAATCTGAAGCCCTGTGAGTGGCTGCAAGGAGGCTGGAGAGAAACCACTCTGTGTTGGAGTCACCCAGGAAGAGCAGGTGACTGTGAGAGGGACACGAGATGGGACGGAGGGTTGGCTTTATGAGGTGGTTCTGCATTCTATCAGTTTGCGAAAGCTCCTCCGAAAACTGTCATCCAGAAAGGCATACAGGAAAGGGTTGAAGCAACTGTTGGCATAACTCAAGCTAGTGATGAAGTAGGAAAGCCCAATGATGAGCGGAGTTTGTGGGATGTCTGTGGTGAGGGCCACCACTGTGCTAAGGTGATAAGGTGTCCAGCAGAACAGGCACACAGCCAGGATGACAATCACCATCAGCGTCACCTTTTTTTTGGCTTTGTCCAGGGCTTTTGCATTGCTATGGAGGTGCACGCGTCTCAGTCTGCACAGCATAGTGGTGTAGAGGATGCAGATGGTGGACACTGGGATGGCAAAACCCAAAATAAGGGTGTAGATCCGACTGCCTTTCCACCACACCGTCTCTGGTTGAGGGAACACGAAGACACACTGGGAGCGCCCCTGCTCCTTGTGTATTTTAGCAAAGACAGTGAAGGGCAGGATGATGACTGTGACGAAGGACCAGACGCAGAGGCTCACGATCTTGGCTGCTCGGTAGGTGCGGTAGGACATCTTCCTGGACTTGGTGGTGGCCACCACAACCAGGTAGCGGTCAATGCTCATGACAGTGAGGAAGTAGATGCTGGAGAAGGTGTTGTACTGGTCTATAGAGATGATGAGCTTGCACATGAACTCTCCAAAGGGCCACTGCAGGAGCAGGTAGTCAACAATGTTGATGGGTAGCACCAAGGTAAAGAGCTCATCAGCAATGGCCAGGTTGAGGATGAAGATGTTGGTGACCGTTTTCATCTTCGGGGCTTTGAGGATTACATAGATGACAGCAGTGTTGCCTGTCAGCCCCACGGCACAGATGACAGAGTAGATGACAGGCACCGTGAGGTAGAAGCTGGGGCTCAGGGGGGGAGTGGACATATTCAGCCCCCCATTCCCTCGCCCAGCACAGTTCGTGGGCCCATCCACGCATAAGGAATTAGTCTCAAGGAGGGAGGAGTTCTCCATGGCCACAGGAGAGCGTGGTCAGGCCCACCGGTGATGGGAACGACTTGGCAGTGAGGGGAAAAAAGATGAGACCCCTGCTCTCCTCAAGACTGTCTCCTCCAGCGCATCCAGCGACTGAGATCTCCCATGTGCTGCTCACCGCTGCCCTGCCAGGACTAAGAGGAAATCACTGAGGGCTTAGCCAGCGGCGGAGGGTCCCACCATCTCCCCAACGTGAGGATGGTCCCCTACCAGCTGCCCCTTCCTTCCTTCCGCCCGCACTGCTGGGTGTCATGTGGGATCAGCACCCAGCCCTAGACTCCCCAAAAGTGACCATCCCAAGGTGACAGCCCTCACCCGGGAACCCAGTGGTCCCCCCCGGCCGCCTCCCCCGCCGCCCCTTCGCGGTGCCCAGGCTGATCTTAAAACCAAGCTGAAATGCTATGAAAGGTTTCAGTAGACTTTAGTGGAAATTCCCATTTCAGTAGGATTTCTGAGGGAACAAAACTATTCTAAAACAACAGAGGAAGGTCACAAGGCTACTCCAGAGAAACATAATGTGAAAACAATGAAAAATAGCTGAATTAGTTGAATCATGGATAAATTTGTATTTTCTAATTGGGATCACTTGGGTGGATAAAGAGGGAAAGAGGGGTCTCATGGCACTATCTGCATTAAATCACTGAAAATAATTAAAAAAAAAATATATTAAAAGGTGGTCACCAGGAGCCGCGGAGGGGCGGCGGGGGAGGCGGCCGGGGTGGACCGTGGGGCTCCTGCCCTAGAGGGGAGCCGATGCCTTTTGGGAT